GCAACCCCTCTGCAAAGAGAAGCCATAGAGCCCAGGCAGGTTTGGTGCATTATTGTTGGTATAACCTCACCAGTGTTGGCTCAGCCTTACCAGTGTTGGGCCTCACCGTTTCACCTCACTTACCCAACTAACCTGAGCTGCTACACAGAAAAAGAGCAACACAGAAGCARTGACTGAGCACATCAAGCYTGGCACTCTGATACATTTCTCACAAACAGTCCTCAAATCCCATCAACAATGGAAGCTTTTTGTACAGGTAGAGCCACAAGAAAGAGCATGYCCAGACAGTCCAAAGAGTTCATGACTAAGTAAAGAAAGATACACAGAACTCCKTGTGGAATTCTGCTTTAGAAGGYAKATTCTCCATTTGCAGAGACTTACCTTTCCGGAAGAGGACGTCCCCAAACTTTCCATGGGTTTCATTGGCTTTGTCTTTCATAGCATTGAAACTAGTCTTCTTGGCAATTCTGGAAAAATCTTCCTCACACAGGGAGAATCCAAAGAAGGAAGCAATCTTTTTCATCCCCAGTATCGGGTCCTGCTCAAAGGAACATAGCACAGAGGTGAAACCAAAAGATTTGACAATGTGGCTGCGGCATGGTGCCAGCACCCTGTGGGAAGCCCAGCAGWGGAAGTTGTCTCCTGCAATGCCACCAAGGACTTCCAAGAGCTCTAACAGGAAACACTTCAGGCCAGGAAACCTACACAGAGTGGCCTCAGCTTCCAGGCCTTTTCTTCCTTCCCAAAAGCTGTGCCTCTGCCAAATATGACTCCTTTCGCAAACAGGCAAGACTATGCTMCTCCAAACCTCCATGGGCTTCCCCCAAACAAAAATGAGTAGCTCAGAAAGGCACACCCTTCTAAAGGGGCRGAGAGGCTTGCCCCAAGAGTTTCTACTTCCCACACCCATGGATATCAGGAGGGATGCAGAGCACACTCATCAAGGAAGAGCTGGGTGAAATGCCACACCTCTTTGAGYTCCTCATAGCTTATTGTCATGATCCTCTCATTGTYGATGTATTTGTTCCATTCTGCTAGATGGTCAAAATAGGATCCCCAGGCCACTGCAGAGAAAGAAGCATGGCTGTTTAGAGAACTCCCCAATGCAGGCCCTTCACCAAATCAGAGGAGTCAGCCCAGACATCTAACACTGGCATTAGAATGGTGAAGGGGTGACCAGCTCAACATGTCTGTTCTTTCTCTTGAGGTCAGTGCAGAATGCCCCGGGTCTGGCCACTTGATACCACAAACCATGAGCTCTCTTGTGGGAAYGGAAAAGTCGGGCTGAAGTTTTYTCCTGGTCTCTCCATTCTAAGTCAGAGACAAAGCTCTGATTCTCTGGTACTCCCTATTTCTGCCATAACAGGGGCCTGTCTGGGAGTGCCTTGGTGAGGTGTTTCACAGTAGGATTCCCATGCACAGGGCCCTGTGTATGCCTGTCATGTAAGGAGAAGTACCAGAGGATGCAGGGMAAAATACCTTTTCCATTCATGAAGTCTGCAAAGTACTCATCCCAGGAGGCAAAGGATGGCAGCGCTGGTAGTTTGTTGCAGAAGTGGTAATAGGAGACAGCCGTGTCCTTGGGGTTTCGAACTAGCACAAGGATCTAGAAGAAGGAAACGCATAATTTGATGGACCAAAATGCCATCTTCTCAACAGATCACTTAGAATCATTGATTCACAGAATCATTCAGGTTGGAAAAGACCTCATCAAATCCAACCATTAACCAAGCACTATCGAGTCCATTACCAAATCATGTCTCTAAGTGCCAGATCTACACATCTTTTAAATACCTCCAGGAACAGTGACTCARCCACTTCCCTGGCAGCCAGTTCTAACACTCAACAATTCTTTCTATGAAGGAATTTTTTCTAATATTGAGATCTAAACCTCCCTTAGTGCAACTTGAGGCCCTTTCCTTTTGTCATGTCACTCATTGCTCTGAGAGGAGACCATGCCCCACCTGGCTACAATCTCCCATCAGGYAGTTGTAGAGAGTGGTAATATCTCCCCTGAGCCTCCTTTTCTCCAGGCTAAACAATCCCAGCTCCCTCAGCTGCTTCTCCTCAGACTTGTGCTTGAAACTCATCACCAGCTCTGTTGGCCTTCTTGGGACACACTCCAGCACCTCAGTGTCCTCCTTTTGGTGACAGGCCCAGAACTGGACACGGAATATTTGAGGTGTAGCCTCACCAGTGCTGAGTACAGGACCACAGTCACTGCCCTGATTCTGCTGGCCACACTATTATTGATCCGTGGCAGGATGTCACTTCTTGTCCACACAGGTACAGTTCTGGCTCATGTTCAGCCACTGTGAACCAGCACCCCCACTCTGTTTCCACTGGGCATCTTTCCAGCTACTCTGCCCTCAGCCTTTTGCACTGCCTGGGGTTGTTGCTGCCCAAGTGTAGGACCCAGCACTTACCTTATTGAATCTCACACAATTGGCCTCAGTCCATTATCTGTACAAATCCCTCTGCAGAGCCTTCCTATCCTCCTACAAATCAACACTCCCTCCCAACTGGGGGTTGTCTGCAAAATTGTTTGTTCACTAAAATTCACCAAATCATACAAGTCTGGTCTAATTCCTTTTCTTGAGCAAGAAAACAGAGCTTTGGCGGGTCACTTCCTGCTAATGTGAGCTTCAGGCTGAAGATATGAAGCTTTTCAGTGATTCCAATGAGACAGTTTAGACCTAGTTCCAATCGGGAGAAACGAGTTCACAATCTACTGAGCAAGAGAGCCACAAAGAGGATGTAGATGTACCCTATCTTCTCTCTGCAGTAATTCTCATTTAAGATTATCTTAGCCCCAGGTGGGCTTTCCACAGGTACCCTGGTTATGGAGGCAAGTTAACACAGACAGGATCACTCCTTGCCTTGCTCAGTTTTCTAGCACAAACCTGGAAGCATCTTTCTGAAGGAGGTCTGAAGGGACACTGACACACAGCAATGAGCCCACCAAGTAACCTCTTGRGTTACCAATGTTGCTGCTGGGAGAGGATATGTGTTCACAGCCTTAGAACACAGAGCTGTCTCCTCAGCCTTGGAAATGTGACTGTGTATTGACTTGCTTAGGTGAAAATGTAGAAAAGACATCTCACACAGAGGAAAGCTAATTTAGGGTGGAAAGCTTTTGCAATGTGATGCAAAGAGAAGACTCACCTTAGCCTGGCTTTGGAAAATGGACGGAGGCAGGACATCAGGTGTCAGATGGGTTACTATAATTCTTCTGGAAGGCAGCTGCTTCATCCTCTTTAAAGAAAGTGGGGAGAAATGTGAGAAGACAGAAGTAGCTTATTCAGAGACATGTGCCTTTTCAGTAATTGTACATCATGATAAAAGGTGAGACCAGAGGAGATGTATCTTATTCCTTGGAAAACCCTCAGGGATGCACAGGTGGTGTAGGCTTCTGCCACCAAGCTCCATTTCACATGAGACAGGCCTCAGGACAGGATACCCAAGGAAAAGGTGTTACTGATCAAAATCCCTGGTTCCAAGGCAGCACGACCCTGTGGTTTTTCAGCCCTGTCTGTCCTCTGAGGCCCCTGTGTTGGGACACCAAGGGCAGTAGCACCTGCTGCTTGTACAGACCATAGCTGTTGTTAAGGCTCTATGCTCTGCATTGCCTCTGAGATCAGCCATTGTCTTTCAGCTATTGCTACCTATAGGAAGGGCAGTGACAATATTTTCAGTTCCTGCTTACCTCATAGATCCCAGGATCCCCAAATTCTAGACGCTGAAATGTCTCTARCTTCTTTTCAGCATTTATTCTCTCTTTCATTTCCTCTTCTGTATATTTGGCATCTGCCAACTCCTTCACCATTTGTTCAAGCCAATTGGTTCCTGAAAGGATAAAGACACCAGTAGGACATCCATTGAATTTCACTTTTAAATGTAAACCTGTTTAATGCTTTACATTTAAAAATGCAAAAATTTTTTTGCTGCCAAATTGGCTCCAAGTGAATCAGTAATTCCTTATTTTGCTTTGCTTACACACATGGTTCCTGATTTATGAATTGCTTACAAGCTGATTTTGCTTTGCTTACACACATGGCTCCTATTGAACTGTCTTTTTTTCAGCCCATGATTCCTCTTACTTTTGACATTCTGTTTCCCTCCGCCATCCCACTGTGGGTGAAAGAGTGAGTGGCCCCCCAGAGCTAATTCGCTGATCAGTGAGTTGCAGCTGAGGTTAAATCACAGCCCTGGCTAATAACCAATAAGAGTAGCCAAAAGCCAACAGGGKAGGAGTAGAGCTGTTACGCAGATATGGTGACGTGCTACCCTCCTTGCTTCAGTACCATATCCCATGCCTCAGTAGAAGCAGAAGCAGACCTCTATTGTTTTTTCCAACTCTGGTACTTTTTGGTTACCTCAGACAACACCCTGTGGAAATTATTCAAGAGTAGTGTGGCTCCCTGCACTGARCCAACTGACTCATCACTTGGCTATTTCTGCTCTCCTTCTACACTGCTGTCTCTGGGAACTCTGTTCCCTCTTCCTAACCAGCTTCAGTTTCTGGTCTCCTTATGATTGACAGGATTTGGCCTCATTCCCAATTCCCAGTTCAAGGCTTCTGTAACTGGCAGCACAAAGGTCATCAACCAAGCCACCAGACCATCAAGCTCCTGACATCATCTTTGCACCAGGCTTATTTGTCTTGACCTGTGCAACCTGGTAAAAYTGTTGGGTGAGGGACTGGGCTTGGAGAGCCAAATCTCAGTTCTCAACTAACACCTCCTGCACTGTATAGATGGATCCTCACATATTGAAACCATTTCTGCCTATGTACAGCTCTGGAAGTTGCATACAAAGGGGATGTGATAAGGATCAACTTCCTCTTTTTCCACAAATGACCTATTAARATATTTCTGTAAAGTCAATAGGAAAAAAATATTAAAGCATCTGGAATGTCCACAGTGAAAGAGAGAGAAAATATCTATCATATCTTTCCCTCCATTTAAATACAAAGAAATCATCTACATTCTGGAATGCAGTAAGAATATGGAAATAGCAATTCTTCTGCTTCCATTAGCACTATATGTTCCCTGTATTGCTCTTGCAGACAGTAGGGTAACAACATACTGTCTTGTATTTGCAAGTGTCAGAGTATCAAGGGATGTGATTATCYTGCTTTAGCTRGCACTGTCATATTCATGGTTTGAATACCTGTGYGCAGGTCCTACACTAAAGCACAAGTGATTTTGAGAATCTGGAGAAAGTCTTGTTGAATTTCCATGAAATTAGTGGGAGCTGGGCCAAATGAAATGCATAGAAAGGCTTGGTTTGCTCAGGATGGAGATKATAGAAGAAAAAGGGCATGGGAGACCCTCACTGCAGTGTTCCACTACTGGAGGTTATCGTGAAGACAGAGCAACTGTCACAACAAGGGGATGTCTGACTGCATTGATGTAAAAACAAACAAACAAAAACCCAAACAAAAAAAAAAAAAAAAAGGAAAATACCGCAAGAGATTTCAGTGGATGGTGAACGTCCACCCTCAAAAGTTTCCAAACCCTTCTGGACAAGGCCTTGAACAACCAAACCTAACTTTAAAGGTTAGKTCTCTTCCTTGCTTTGACTGAGAGGTTATATTACTTGACCTCCAGATATGCCTTACAGCTTAAATTCATGATTCTAGAAAGTGTGATGTCACCGTAAGCTTTTTGCAGGATCTACTGCTCTTTGTTAAATGATGACAATAAATAATCAGCTTGTGGATTGCAGCACTGTGCACTTGACTACTGACCAAGAAAGCACTTACCTGATTTAGGATAACCCACTAGAATCACATCATC